AGGAATTTTTCTGCTCGGAATTTTAGCACCTATATATTTAAATGAAGATAGTGCCCTTTGAAAAGCATTGCTGTTCTTTCCTGATGCTCAAATATCTCATCCAACCCATAAAAGCAGTGTGTGATACTTTATCTGGTATAATTTGTCAAACATAGAATTTTTATGTCTTATCTTCCTATATGCCTTCAGAAACCCTATGAACTTTGATAAATGTTAATAGTTGTAGAGAGACTTCAAGTCTTTTGTTCATAGGGTCTCTATGAGTAGTAATCAACTCGAAGGCAATCAACAACAAAAAACATCTTCCCCTAGTATCTTTTTAAAAAATTTTGTATTTTTTAGATTTTAATGAAAATGTATACAGAACTTGGATTTCCATTCTTTCACTGTTGTCTATTTTCCTCCCTGCCCACCCCCAGTTCGCGTTTCTCTTTGAAAAAAATTCTTTCAATATTGCACAGTATCCTCCATCCCCTTCCCATAGTATCTTAATGGCAGATTTTTAATTTAAAACATCAATACACTCACAGTACTTAGCATAAGAATTGACATGGAAAACGAATTAAGGAATCTTAATTTACTATTTACTAATCCTAAATTACTAATTAATAACTTCTATTTCTCCCCCTCCCATGTATCATGACTACTGATTATTGGCCCATTAGTGAGGACTTTTGTTTTCATTATAAACATTCTTTGTTAATTGTTAATGAACATATGAGTAAATAATCATAAGAACTTATTGAAAAGCAAGTTATAATTCATTAGGCCTCCGGTGGACCTACATTTCTAGCTGGCGCTTAGATGATAGTCAACAAGACACTTGCATTTTGGCCAAGCCCTTGTCTCCATTTTGGAAACTGGGTGAAGCAGTTGGACTATGTATGATGAGCTCTCTTGTTTTGGTTGAGGGTTGGTGTGGAATGTTTGGTTGTTTTTTTTTTATTTAAGCCTCTTATTTAGAGTCAACTAGACCTCTTGGAATGCCTTTGTATTTAAAAGTTGGGCCCCCAAGGGATTATATTTTGATTCCTTGTTACTATATTTTGGAAAAACATTCTTCTAAATCCTACAGCACTCTGCTGTCAATTGTTGTGCTGAGGTAATCTGGATTTGCTGTGACGTTGTGCCATTGGGATCTCAAATGTCACAATGGCTTCCCATGGTGGACAGTATTTGGTGGAGCTCCCAGTGTAAAACAGGTTTGGTAGCAGGAGTGGCATCTACTTCCTAAACCACATGCCTCTGGAAACTCTATAAACTTGGAGAAACAACGATAGTTATAGAAAGGCTTCAGGCCTTTTGTTCATAGGGTCACTACGAGTCATGTGTGACTTGTAACTCGATGGCAATCAACAGAAACAATAGGGAACTCTGGTGACCTAGTGGAAAGAAGCTGCCCTGCAAACCTGAAGGCCCTCAGTTCAAGTCCACCAGCTGCTCTCCAGGAGACAGATGGGCCGTCTCCTCCTGGCTGATTAACTGTCTCTGAAAATCCACTGGAGGATCACCTATGGGTCAGTTCTGACTAGATGGTACACTACCACCACCACAACAACGTGGGTAGATACAGAGCTCTGGTGGCCTAATGGGAAATGAGTAGCATGACCTACCCAAAGGCAGGCGGTTTGGATCCACCAGCAGCTCTGTGGGAGAAAGATGGGCAAAATCCTCACCTGCAATTTGCAGCTTCTGAAAACCCACTGGAGGGTCAGCTATGAGTCAGCTCTGACTCAGTGGCAATAAGTTAGTTTAATATATTGAGTAGATATACACCATCCCATAGGTATTTGTTGTTGTTATGTGCTGTTGACTTGCCTGTGACTCATAGCACCCCTATGTACAACAGCCCTAAACCCTGTTCTTTCCTGTGCCAATCTCACTGTCTCTGACAAACCCATCCCGATTACTCCCGTAACTGAATCAGTCCACCTCATAGAGGGTCTTCAACTCCTGCGCTGTTCCTTCACCTTCCCAAGCATGATGTCCCTCTCCACAGACTGGTCCCTCCTTGCAACATGTCCAAAGTATGTCAGACAAAACTTCAGAATTTTTCCTCCAAGGAGAAGCCTGGTCTCACCCTCTCTAGGATAAATCTGTTTGTCCTCCTGGCAGTCCATGGTATATTCAATACACTTCTCCAGTACCACAGTACAAAGGCATCAATTTTCCTTCTATCATTCCTAGTCATTGTCCATCTTTAAAATGCATACCCTGTAATTGCAGAGACTATGGCCTAGATCAGGTGCACCTTAGTCTCCAGACTGACATCATTGCTCTTCAGTACTCTGGAGAGGTCTCTGAAAGCAGACTTTTCCAATGCAATTCATATTTTAATTTCATGTTTGCTTGTACCAAGAGTGTTGATTGCAGAGTCAAGCAAATGAATAAAATCCTATAGGTATATTGGTCTTTAAAAAGATCACACTACCTGGGGTGACTTAATGAATATCTGTTGCTAAAACAAACCAAAACCCATTGTTGATGGAAATCTAAATGGTGCAACCACTTTGGAAAGCAGTCTGTCTGCTCTTCAAAATGTTAAATTCATTTATTATATGATTCAGCAACTTGTAGGTGTACCTAGGAGAATTGAAATCACATAAACACTTGGACACAAATATGCAGAACAGCATTATTTGAAATGATTAAAAAGTGTAAATAACCCAAATCTCCATCAGCTAATGAATGGATAAATAAGAAAAGTATCTATGCAATAGATTATTTGTAAAAGCAAACAAAGAACTGATAAATCCTAAAGAGTAGAATAGTGTTTGCTAAGGACTGCTAGGAGGGGAGAATGGAAAGTAACTGCAACGAACTTGGAATTATTTTTAGGAATGACAAAAATGTTATGGAATAAAATAGTGGTAAAATCTATATGGGGAGATTTAGTAGTGTAGTCCACAGCACTGCTGATCTAAACACAGGGTCCCTTTGGAAGTTCAATACCAGTGGCTCTAGAGGGCAAAGATTAATGACTTTTCCATGTGATTACAGTCATCAAAAACCTGTCGGAGGATCAGCTATGACTCAGTTCCAATTCAATGATAGTGAGTTTGATTGTTTGCATTAAGGGGTACTGGTGCTGCAATATGCAACATAACAGGCTACAGACCAAAATGTCAGCAGTATAAATTCATCAGATCTCCACTGCAGAAGATTTGGCAGTCTCCCTTGATACAGATCCAGAGCCTGGGGCATCAAATGGAGGGTCACTATGAGTTCAAACTGGCTGGATGGAAGCAGGGGATCTGGGATGTTTGTATTACCTTGTGCATATTCAAAAATCCAGCCCACCTTATATTATAGAGAGGTGAATTTTATGGTATATTTATTATATCTAATTGTTAAAAAAAATTAAAAAAAGGATTGAAAGCTCCCATCACACAATAGCACTCTAGGGATTACCTTTTTATCTGAGAACGCAGCTCAGCACAGTCTTCAGATAACTGGTTATTAGATTCTTCCAAGACTTCTGACACCAATCTAAACTTATTGTTTTCCTCTTCCAATTTTTGCTTGCTGAAATGCAGGTCTGCTACATAGCTAATCAAATCAGACACCTCTCTGCATATGAAAGAGTGTGGGAAAATGATCATCAATGTCTCTGATCCTTTCCAACCAAAATAGTGCTTAGCATTAAGCTCAGCTAGTCTGTTTTTTATATAAAATTTTTATTTTCTACTGGTTTACTCTTAAAGGTGGTATACATTGTTATTCACACCAGATCTTTCCCCTTTCCTTTACCCACCCCGCCTTCCACCCATCAAATTATGTGACCCTATGATTAAGCACTTCCATCTTCACTGCTCTGTTCCCTGTCCCCACCTTGGATCCTCGTACTCATTCTACAATAATGGTCTTATACAGTATGTGTCCTTACGGGACTGAGTTAGTTCACTTAGCAAAATGTTCTCCATTCTATCCCAAATTAGGTAGTGAATTACAAAATCATTGCTCCAGTGTGCTGCATCGTATTTCACTGTGTGAATGAAACATAATTTCTCATTCCATTCCATTGTGGTTGGACATTTGGGCTGTTTCCATGTTCTTGCTATGGTGAATAAGGCTGTTATGAACATTGGTGTACAAGTCTCTGTGAATTCTACCAAACATTCAGAGATTTACCACGAATCTTACTTAAGTTATTTTTAAAAGCAGAAAAAAAAGGAACACGCAAGAGACATTCTATGAAGCAAGAATAACCCTAATATAAAAACCAGACAGAGATATTACCAAAAAAGAAAACCATAGACCAACATCTCTCATGAACATAGACACAAAAATCCTTAACAAAATTCTAGCTAGTAGAATCCAAAAGCACATTAAAAAAAAATTCATCATGACTAAGTCGTATTCATAACAGGTCTGCAAGGATGGTTCAACACAAGAAAAACAATCAACATAATTCACCACATTAACAAAGCAAATAACAAGAACCATATGATCCTAGCAATTGATGCAGAAAAAGCATTTGACAAAATCCAACACCACTTCCTGATTAAGACACTCAACTAGTCTACGGCCATACCACCCTAAAAAAAAAACCAAAACCAAAAACAAAACACTCAAACTCGTCTTAAATAAAGAGTTCTGTTAGCTTAGTTATAAAAAATTGAGCTGCCGGCAAGAAACCGCACTGCAATCCCAGAGGAACACGGTTCAAATCCACCAGACGCTCTGCTGGAGAAGGAGGCGCAATATCCTCCTGTACCAGTCAGATCTGATTTGACGGTACACGCACACAAAATAAAAAAAAAAAAATTGAGCTGCCAACCCAAAGGCTCACATTCTTAATTCACCAGTTGCTCCACAAGAGAAAGATGTGCAATCTCCTTTTGTATGATTTACTGCCTCTGAAAACTGCTAGAGGGTTGGCTATGGATCAGTTCCAACTTGATGGTACCTAACAATAACAAACCTTAAATAATCTGAGAAATTTTCTACTTGACTGTCATACGTTATAAAAGCATGATTTATTTTTATAATATTTATTCCAGCATTGGGTGTAATAGTATTAATGTCTTCCCAAAACTGTCACATATTCTACATTTGCCAGTTGTGAATTCAATGTCTATAGCTTCTGTCTACTCTATTTCACTTTACTCTTAACACACAAGTCCTTCTAAACTGAAGAATTCCTATTTCTGCTTGAGTCATGGAAAATCCAAATGCAAATTTATATAGTATTCTTGTTATAAAAGGATATTGACAAATCTTGGGTTCTTATGATGGTGAAGAGATTGAGACTGTTAAAAGTGTTCACTTGCTTGGCTTCACAATCAACACTCTTGGTACCAGCAGCCAGGAAAAAAAGATGAATTGCATTGGGAAAGTCTGCTGTCAGGGACCTCTCCTGAGTACTGAAAAGCAATGATGTCAGCCTGGAGACTAAAGTGTGCCTGATCTAGGCCATGGTCTTCACAATCACATGCTATGCATTGGACAATAAGTAGGGATGATAGAAGGAGAATTGATGCCTTTGAGCTGTGGTGTTGGAGAAGAGTAGTAAATATACCATGGACTGCTAAGAGAAAAAACAGGTTTGTCCCAAAGAGGGTTAAACCAGGCTGCTCCTTGGAGGCAAGGATTCTAAAGCTTCTTCTGACATGCTTTTTGGGTATGTTACCTGGAGGGACCAGGCATTGGAGAGGGACATTATACTTGGGAGGATGGAGGGACAGTGTAGGAGAGGAAGACCCTGGATGAGATAGATTCACCCAGTGACTGGGGTAATGGAGGTGGGTGTGTCAGAGACAATAAGGTTGACTCAGGATATGGCAGGGGTCATGTTGTACAAAAGGTCGCTATGAGTTGCAGGCAATGGCATATAACAACAAACAACAATAGCTCACTGTATTCTTCTTTTCAGGGCTATTTTCTCCATACAGCTTGCTAACATTTGTGTCACGGCTACCCCCTCATTTGAGTATAAACTCTTTGGGAGTCTGGACAGTGTGAGTCTTGGATCCCTAGGTTATCTCTTACTCTGCAAATTATCCCAGGGCTTTGCAGAAAGTACCTTCTTCCTTTTCTACCTTTTTGGATGGATGAAACTGAAGCAGCAAGCGCAAAATAAGGAAGAAACAGAACTACCTCTCTTTGATGTTCGAAACTCAAACATTTAGTGGAAAACTGACTTTCTCATTCATATCTAAATATATCTATTAAACATAGACTTTTAAAATAATCTTAAGAAGAGTTGAAGATCAGCATAATAACGTCACTTGTTTCAGTGTCCAGCTATTACCTTCTATTCCTCTCAACATGATCAGAAAATTCCTGGATTGGATGGGAGAAAACTGTAGAACAAAGTTAAAAAATATAAATAAGACCAGACTTACTGGTTTGACATCATCTGATTGAGCCCCAGAGACTGTGGCTCTTACACATCCTGTGGACCTGGTACTGAACCTATTCCTGTGGATCAACTTGTTTTATAGTAAAATGTTGCCAGATCAAAATCGGGGAGTTCCAGTGGCCTAGTGGTAAAGAGCTACACTGACCAACTCAAAGGCATGCAGTTCAAATTCATCAGTTACTCTGCCAGAGAAAAATGGGTAATTTTCTCCCCTGAGGGTTCTGAATTGATGGTACACAAGAACAAGAAGTCAGTCTTCCAAAAATTTGGGTTCTTATTGTAACTAGACCTAATACAAATGGTAAAGTGAGTAAGAGTTTAAAATGAATTGTGAGCTCTACCTTAAAATAAAAAGTAACGAAGTACTGTGTTTATCATAAGTAAAATATGTAGTCAAATAACAAAATCAATATACTTCAGAAATCATTACAAATAATACTCACAAAACTCCATCAGATTCTTCTCTGTCAAAAGTCTCATAGTCCCCTGAAAAACAAAAACATTTTATAAATGAAATTCATTTTTTCCCAACTCATAAGGGGGCAGTGGAAGGCAAGCAATCCTGAATAAATTCATACTTACATTCTCCACATGATTTGGTGCCATCCTGTTGTTCAAAAACAGAGTTTTCCAAGCTGTTTTTTGAGCCACTATTCAGTTTTCCACTGAAATAAAACACAAACCCAACATGGTATTCTTTGTCAAGCCAAAGCTTAGCTCATTTTTCAGATGTGCACTGTATTTTCCTACACAGAGATTTCTTCCTCAGTTTTAAAATTATCTACTGGTGTATCAACTGCTTGAGGCCAAACAATGTGCTTGTTACTTATGGTGAACTAGTTCTGGTTTGTTTGTTTGTTTTTCATATGGAGTAAGAGCATATGCTAATAGATATAACTTTGCATAGCTTTTACTCTAACCTGAAAAATAAAACAAGCCCACAGAAATAATTAGGTGGTATTAAAGGCACTACATAACTCTAGGATTGGAGGACTTAATGGATTAGGAGAGTCATGTAGTTAGGAGAGGTAAGGCAGTTCTCATGGCTTAGTGGTCAGGAGTTTTTTGCCAACCCAGAGGCATGCTGTTCAAATCCACCAGATGCTCTTGAGGAGGAAGATGGGAAATGTGTGATTTACGGTCTTTGAAAGTCCACTAGCAGGTGAGCTATGAATCAGACTAGGGAGTAAATAATAACAACAAACAGGAATGGTAAGTAGAGTCTGTGGAGGTGGCAATATTGTATGTCTCAAAGCACCGAGAAGGGGAGAGAAGGGTAAAAAAACAATATTTGTAAAATTATTGATGTTTTCTCTTTTGTGAGAATCAGGTTGAATTTAGGTAAGTTGTTCTCCTGAAATCTATGGACACTTCTGTTCAAGTCTTTGTCCAATATATAAATGCTACATCTAATTCTCAAAATAAGCATATTTATTGTTGTTATATGCCATTGAGTTGCCTGTGACCCATCGTGACCTTATGTACAGCAGCTCTGAAGCCTGCTCTGTCCTGAGCTGACCTCCATTATCCCAGTTACTGTGTTAATCCATCTCATTGGTGTCTTCCACTTCTGTACTGTCCCTCCACCCTTCCAAGCATGATGTCCTTCTCCAAGGACTGGTCCCCCTGGCCACATGCCCAAAGTATATGAGATATCTCTTCAGAATCATAGCCTCCAAGGAGAAAATCGGTTTCACCCTTCACCAAAACAGACCTATTTGTTTTCTTGGTGATCAATGGTATGTTCAAGACTCTTCAAGATTTAATCAAAGAGTTTTTGTACTATGCTTTTAAGTTTTATTAATTTTTTCAATACTAAATCTTTAGATTACCTCTTTGAAGCAGCCACAAAAATCCTCCAAATTGTACCTACATTTTCTATCTCTTTTACATGAGATGTCTTCAGGAAGGTGAGTAAGCAAAAATTTCAGCCAGCATACTTATCTCCTTATATATGTATTAATTATAATTTCTGAGTTCCTTCTTTTATGTTTTGTATTTATGCCTTTCATATTCTTCTATTTGCTATCACTTACTTTGTTTTATAAACAGATAATTAATATTTTCATTAAAAAGTTAGATTTTTAGAGAATTCCTTTTCAAAAAATTAATATTCTGATATTCTTTTTATTATTTCCCTATGCACATTATTATTATATTATTATTAACAAAAAATTTATTATACATATATGACATATTGAGGAAACAACATGCTATGTATTCTTTCACTCAAATCACGATTAAAAAATGTTTTTACAATAAAAATAAATGCATATGAGTATTTATCTTGTTAGACATAATTTTAAGTAACTATTCAATGCTTGGTGTGAGCCCTGGGATGTAGAGCATAAGGCGTCAGGCTGCTGACTGACACACTGACTCTTCGAATCCACCACGTACATACTTCTTGGGTAAAGGATGGTCCAGATCCTCCTGTAGAGATTTAAAGCCTCAGAAACCCAGTGGAGAGTCCCTACGAGTCAAAATTGACTCAACAATATTGTGTATTTAGTATTTTAGTGTACCAAAGTACATTTTTTAAATCTGTTTTCCTTTTATAAAGTACACTGCTCCTCATATCTCTTAGCAAGTTATCTGACATTTCACATTCATGAAAATAGTAAAAATTGTGTGCATCATGGACGCACATTTCAAGGTACTGAGTACATAACTAGGAGGTGAGAGTAAAATTGACAATGTCAGCCTGACTGGACCATGGTTCTCAGTGGTTTGGCAGTTATATCATTAATTATGTAATCTGACATGGAAGTTGAGATGTATATGGCAATTTTATAGCGATGCAATCATCCTCCTTTTTTACATAATATTGATTTTTCACCACTGCCTGATAATATGTAGTAGTCATTTTTAAAAAACCAATTGTCAAACTAATAGGAAAAAAAATTGTGGTTGCCATTACTTGCATTAATTTTATTACTAATAAATAAAGTAGATTTTTTTATATGTTGATTTTTGTCTTCACAGGGAGGTCTAGTAGTAGGTAGTTGTGCTACCAAGACAAAGGTGGTCAGTTTGAGTCCACTAGCTGCTCCACAAGACTACACTTTTTTGTTGTTAGGTGTCATTAAGATGAGCATGACTCATAGTGACCCAATAAACAACAGACCTGAACCCTGTCTGATCCTGTGCTATCACCACCATTTCTAACAGTTAAAAGCATTACTGTAGTCACTATTATCAATTCATCTCATTGAGGATCTTCCTCTCTTTCTCTAATCCTCTACCTTTCCAAGTATGATGTCTCTTTCCAAAGAATCGCCTTTCCTAGCAACATGTCCAAAGCATAAGAGACAAAGCTTGATCATCTTTGCCTCCTAGGAACACTCCTGTCTGCACTTATTCCAAGACAAATATATTTCTTCTTTTGGCAGTCCATGGGATATTCACTACTCTTTTTCCAACACCACAACTCAAACTGCATCAATTCTTCTGTTATCCTTATTCATTGCCCAGCTCTCAGACATGTAGCAAGTGTTTGAAAGACTACAGTCTGAATCACATGCACCTTAGTCTTCAAACTTATGTATCATTGCTCTTCTGCACTTTGAAGAGGTCCCTGACAGTGGATTTGCTCAATGCAATACATCTCCTGATCTCCAAGGGTGTTGACAGTTAATCCAAACAAGATGAAATCATTGACAACTTCAATCCTTTCTCCATCTACCATGATGTTGCTTATTCTGAAATGATAAACAGCTTTCTCCCTTTTCTATGTTTCTATTTTTGTCTTTTCCCTTTCCCAATCTATCTTTTAAATTTTCAAATAACTCACAATTCATTACATAAATTTACATATTTTTTTAAAAATTTCTAAACCTCGTATCCTTAAAAGAATAGTTGCTCTTATTTGAAACACAATTAGTAATTTTATAGTCACTACTAGTTAATTCCCTTGGCTCCTATGTTATCTCAATTTTTAATATTTTTTAGAACAAGATACTATGTGGTCCCCACCCTGTCATTAAAAATGGACATTTTCAGGATTAATCTACTGGAGCAGTGCTTCTCAAATTATATTACCTTTAACTTCAGCAGCTGCCTCACCGGGAAACTTATTAGAAATGCAAATTATTATTAACCAGCATCCCAGACCTGCTGAAGCATGGGGACTGGGGCCCAGCAGTTTAACATAATCCAAATAATTAAAGTGCATGACAAAATAAGAGTTGCTCTATATTGCAGTGATTGTATCGACTGGGAGACAGTGATTAACAGTAATTATTGTCAATTGTTAAAACAGAACCTTGAAATACACACTGCAGGACAATGATTACCGTTTATTTCGACAGTAAGCCACCCATTCTTTCATGATTGTATGGAAAGTTTCCAGGTCCACATGTGAGTCTCTTTTTTTAGGATCAAGCATATTCCACAGCTCCTCAAGAGCACTGTCTTCAGAATCTCCGTGAGTCGCTTGCTTCAGGTAATCTATTATTTTGGCCACTCCCACTGAGCCTTAGGAAGAAGTGGGGGGAAAATTATCTTGAATGGTGGGGAATGATAACTCTTTAAAAAAGAAAGTGCTGACCTCTGTGAGTCCTGGAAGTATGCCTATACTCCTCACAATTATATTGAGCTAACATGGGATGTGAAAAAGCAACCCGGCTTTGAGTAGGAGTCAAATGAATCTAATGCCAAATTTTACCTCTGTAATTTACTATGTGACTTTGGGAAAATTACTTATTCTTCTTCAACATCAGTCTTATCTGTGAGGTGAGAATGACTATACCTACTCTACCAAGTTCTAATGTTTCAATCTGATTATCTGTAATCATTTGTAAAGGGAACTTTGGTGACTTAGTGTTTGCACTGCTAACTCAAAGGTACACAATTCAAACCCCTGAATTGATCCATGAGAGAAAGATGGACAATGAACTCCTGTGTGATTTATTGCCTCTGAAAATCTGCTGGAGGTTCTACTATGAGTAGGTTCTGACTCAACAACATATAACAATAGTAATAATCATATGTTGTGGGTGATAAGAATTCTGCATTCTCTCATGTCTTAGTCTCTAATGAAGAGATTTTCTTGTCTTAACATGAACGTTTTATCAAATAAGTACTTTAAAATTTTTATTTTATACTGGTTTATTTACAAAGTTCAAAGACATTGTTCAAAGACATCAGATCCTTCACATTTCCTTCACCACCCTCCCCCCATCAAATTGTGCTCATCCCTCTGCTTCCCCCTCCCTCCACCTTGGATCCCCATATTTGCTTTACAAGAAAGGGCTCAAATATTTATTTTTTTTGCATATTCCTCAAACAGTAAATCCTCTTCATACATTCAGAAATTAAAGATGTTCTAAAATTTGGTTGTAAATCTTTTTTCTCTCTCTTCTTCCCGGCCACCCTTATTCTGATCCCTTGGCCTGATTACAACAGGTAAAGAATCTGAGACAAGGTAAAAACCTTCTTCCTATCTATTTCCCTAGTGTTCTCTCTTCCTCTACCTCACTCAGCTTGTTAACTAGATATTCTGGCCATTTCAAGGTCAAAGGTGGGGGAACAAAGAGAAATTCAAGTGATAAATGATCCAGTTGTGGTCATATATTATGGAAGGATATACAATTAACAATTTTTCAGGAAAATAAGAATGCTGATTAATTTTCCCTTTATAGTGCTTCCTGGGAGCTCTGGTGTAGTCTGTAGTAAGTTACACACTAACTCAAAGGCCATACCTTTCTGGCAGTTTAATTCACAGCAACTTAATTGGAGAAAGACAAGCAGACTCCCCTCATATGACTTACTGTCCTAGAAACCTAGTGAAGACTCAGCTATGAAACCTAGTGAAGACTCAGCTATGAATTGGCTTCACTCACTCAGCAATGACTTTTCATGACTATATTATTAATTTTATTACAATGAGCATGAATTTTTCTAAATTTTATTTGTCATCTTCTCATTCACATTGTGTTTCTTATGATTATTCCCACATAGTGTTTTAGAAAACTAATCACTATTGATCTATGCCCACCATTATCCTGTCCTTTCAGATCCCACTGGATCTTTCCAAATTCCTTCATCCCTTCCCTCCACTCAATAGACCCTGTGACCCAATGCTTTCCCCCATCCACACGATCAGGCCCCCTGACTCCCTTCCCTTTAGATATCCATACACAACTTACGAGTTATTCTTTTGTTTTTACAATCATGATCTTATGGAGTATTTGTCCTTATAGGTCTGAGTTAATTCACTCAGCATAAGCATGAATTTTTATGTACTTTTAACTTTGTGTACTTTATGTAATTACTTGTTACAAAATTTTTTTAAGAAACAGAAGTGAAGATCTAAAATTAACTAAAAATTTTGAGCTAAATTTCTGTAACAGTTTTATATGTTCGTGTATCTTCCTTGTAAGGTAACACCTATGATGTGTGAATAATTTTTAAACAGAATTGATCGCCAGCTGGCAAACTCAATGAGGCTATTCTAGTCAGTAATAGAACATGCAAAATAAGTTCAAAAATAATCAAGTAATTCTTGCTTCTATGACTTAAGACTGCCAAGACTTCCCCACAGGTGTTAAGACCATGTTATCAAGAGGGACCAGGTTCTGAAGGCAGACTCTCAGTGAGACGGACTGACACAGTGATTACAATGCGCTCACACTAAGCAGCAATTGAGAGAATGGCACAGGTATGGGCAGTGTTTAATTTTGCTGTGTTATGAATCAGAACCAACAAGATGGCATCTAAAACCAGCAACAACAACAATAGAACAGTCACATTGTTGTTTGTGACAAGTCAATTCCAGCTCACAGTGATCCTAAATGGCAGAGTAGAACAAGCCCACAGTGGTTTCTAAACTGAATGCTTTACATGAGTAGATTAACTGGGTTTTCTCTTGCAGAGCTAAAGTATGAGTTTCAATAGGAGATAGATGTAGAAGTCTGCTTTCATTGAGTCAATGGATTTCTGAGATTATAAATCTTAATGGGACTATATTGTTCATTACTCTCCTATGGAGCAGCTAGCAGACATCAACCTTTAGCTGGCAACCCAGTAAGTAATCTCTTCTGTAAGTGCTCTTTACATGTGCATACTAACTCCTAAATGATATTACATCTGCCTCATTATAAAAACATATACACAAATCTAGTGTGTTGCCTTTGTCTAGTGCCAGTTCCCTTTGTCTTACAATTAGAAGAACTAAATTGACTGTCACTGATCATTTGAGCAGCTAATAATCAACTTACCTTTGTGTTTTGTGTCACATGCCTGAAAAACACTTGTGAGTAACTCTTCTTCATTGGTACCGTTGATGCTGTATGTTACATTTTCTTTGCCATAATTTGTTTCTACTTTCCATCCTAATAGACAAAAACAGTTTGCAAATGCAGGTATAAAGTACTACATTGATTAACTGCAGTATAAAAATTAATCTAATTATTTGGTTCCATTCAGCTAGATCGTTTTCATTTTTCTTAAATTAGTATTTTTAGTTGAGTCTTAAGCAATAAAACATTACAATAGACATCAAAATACTGGTTCATTAACTTGAGTAAACCAGCATTCAAAACTACCTTGAAGCATCTATTTTTCAACTTCCCTTTTAAATATAACAGTGGAGAGAATAAGTGGGAAAGAGATGCAGGAGAGAGAAATGAGTTTGGGATTTTTAAAATTTGTGGTGGGGTGCTTTTGCCCTGTAATATTAAAAGTGCTTTGCAAGAAAGTAAATAGTAAAGCAACAAAGTTATTTAAAAAAAAAAAGAGGAGAAATACTAACTTGCTTCCAGAAAATGAACCTTCTCTTATTGTTCTGTTTTACATCCTCAGCTACATATGGAAGCAGCTCTGGTGGTGTTGGACATTAAATGTTAGTGGGCTAACCAAAAGGTTGGCAGTTCAGATGTGCCAGCCAAAAGATGGCACTTGTTAAGACTGACAAGCTCAGAAATCTGATGAAAGGTCGTCACGAGTTGGAAGGAGTCCTAGTGGTGCCATGGTTAAACATTTGGCTATTAAACATAAGGCCAGTGATTTGAACTCACCAACACTCAGTGGTAGAATGATGTGACAATCTGCTTCTGCAAATACAACTTTGAAAATGTGTTAGGGCAATTTTACTCTGTTACTGTAGTGTGATTGGGCAACAACTAAGTTGTTGATGAACAGAAGATTCCAAAGGGTAGCTCAAGAAGACAAAGCAAAATCTTACCATAGAATGTGCAAAGAATTAGAGTTGGAAATAAAAAGGAAAAGAACTTGCTCAGCATTTCTTCAACCTGAAAGAACATAAAAACAAACCCAAACATCGAATTGCAATACCGAGAGATGCTATGGGCAAAATAATGAATGATCCAGGAAACATTAAAAGATGATAGAGGGAACCAATAGTCACTGTACAAAAAGAAAAAATTAGTTGACAATGAAAAATTTCTGAAAGTATCATATGAACAAAAAGCAATGGTACTGAAGGAAGCTCAAGCTGCACTGAAAACATTGACAAAAAATGAGGTCCAGGAATTAGTAAGATACTAATTGACATGCTTCAGCTAACAGATGCAACCCCTGATGGGCTCACCAGCTTATGTCAGGAGGTTTGCAATATAGCTACTTGGCTAAGTAAAATGGAAGAGATTCATTATTGTTCCTATCCTTAATAAAGGCAATCCAATCCAATAGAATGTGGAAACTATCAAACAGTATCATTAATATCACATGCAAGCAAAATATTGCAGAAGATCATCCAAAAATAATTAGAATGATACACTGAAAGATAAATGAAAGAAGTTCACTGGGCTTAGAAGTGGCTGTGGTATCAAGGATATCATTACTGCTGTCAGATGGATCCTGGCTGGAAGCAGAGAATACAAGAAGAATGTCTACTTGTGTTTTATTGACTATGCAAAGGCATTTGACTGTATGGATCATAGCAAACTATGGCTAACATTGAGAATAATGAGAATCTCAGAAGATTTAATTATACTCATATGAAAGCTACAGTGAGAGCCAAGAAGCTATTAAATGAACAGAGTGAGGAAACACTGCATGGTTTTTAAATCAGGACAGCTCTATGTCAAGGTTGTAATTTATCTTTTCTCCATAACTATTCAATCTGTTCACTGAGAAAAATTATCCAAGCAACTGGACCCTATGAAGAGAAACGTGGCATCAGAATTGGAGAAAATTTATCAACTTGTGTTACGCAGATGACACAACTTTACTTTCTGAAAATAATGCTTGCTACAGAAGATCAGAGACCATAGCCATCAATATTGATTGCCTCTTGACATCAAAAAGACAAAAATCCTCATCATTGGACCAATAAGCAACATCATGATAGATGAAGAAAAGATTGAAATTGTCAACTACCTCATCTTACTGGGTCCATAATCAACAGTCTTGGTACTAGCAGTCAGAAGATCAGAGGATATATTGCACAGGGCAAGACTGCTGGCAAGGACCACTCTAAATTACTGAGAAGCAATGATGTCTGGGTCAAGAATAAAGTGTGCCTGGTTCCAGCCATGTTCTTTTCTGAGAACTGGCTAAGAATGACGGGGGGTGGGGCGGCGATGAGGGGAAGATGCCTTTGAGTTGTGGTGTTGTAGAAGAGTACTGAATAATCTCTTGCACTACCAAAAGAATACAGTTATATCTTGAAGAACGTGCCGTCAAAACGTTCCTTGGAAGCAAAGATGAAAAATTTTTGTCTCATATACTTTGAGTATGTTGCTAGAAGAGGCTGTTCTTTGGAGAGCTACTTCCTTCTTGGAAAGTTAGAGGGTAGGCACAAGAGAGAAAGACTCTTAGTGAGATATACTGATACAGTGACTGCAGCAATGGGCTCAAGTGTGTCAGAGAGGATGAGAATGGCACAGGATAAGATAGGGTGCAGATCCTGGTGTTCATAGGGTCGCTAGCTAGGAATTGGTTTTGACTTGACAGCACCTAACAATCACCACCACCACAACAGTAGGTTTTGGTTTCACTATAACATATGGCATTGTTGGTGGCTCTCTTAACTTGAGTTTGCACAATTCTCATTGGCCTGAAATATTTATATTCTCCCTAGTCTATCTCATTGACTTTTGCAGTGGAACACAGTTTAATTTACCCTTACACATATTGTTGTTATGTACCATCAGGTTAGAACCTACCCATAGCTCAGCCTCCCATGGGTTTTCACAGACTATAAATTATATGGGAGGAGAGTGGCCATCTTTCTACTATGGAGAAGCTAATGGATTTGAACTGTTTTAATGTGCTAGTACAATAGTAGCTTTCATTAATTCAACTGGAAATAATATATATTTTAAACCCTATAAAAATATTTATATATTCTCTTCATGACATTCTCATTTGGCCTACTTTTTTATCAGTAGAGACAGAGCACTAGGTTATAGTTGTAAATACAACTCAGACATTTCTATCAGGCATTTAACTAAAAACACAGAAAATTCATATAAGACTTTTAAAGAGGCAAAAGTACTAAAAGCAAAAAGGGGATACATATACTTCTAAGCTTTAATAATATGCATTATTTTAAGTTCAAGATTCTAAAATAGTATGTTTAATTGTTTTATTAGAAGAATAAACATTAAAGGATTAATATTTACCTTCTTCATTGAGAAATAATTTTTTCACTACTGAATCCTGAGGAGTAAGATAGTCAGATATTTCATTAAAGGTAGAATCAAGGTCAACTGTTAAGATACCAAGATTATTTTTACTAACAAAGTTACTTAAATCTTTGTTAAAGAAGAGATTCCCTCTTCTGTTCATCAAAGATCTATAGTTCTGTGAGCTTTGAGATATATGTCCTGCAATGTTTTCAGAAGTTTTGTGGATAATAGAATATGTTATATCCTCCAAAGAACAGAGATGAGTGGTGGGTGGGGTTCGTGGAGATTCTATTTGAGGAGATGAGATAAAGACACCCATTTTCTCAGAATTTGAAGAATGGCAGTAGGGTGTAGAAATGTGAGAAGCTGCCATTTTTTTCAGTACTTCTTCAAATTCTTTCTTGGTATTAATCTGTGGACTGTTAAAACTGCTAATCTGGTAATTGATAATCTGCTGAATTGGGTTTGAAACTATTTCCCTTTTTTGAATGGCTTGGATTTTTCGACAAATGCTTTCCACTGGGTTATGCCGCTTCCTAGGCCCCATCCTTCCAGAGGCCGTTGCTGATTTTCTTCGGTTATACAGATGAAATCACTAAAGTACAAGCAAAATAGACAAAGTTTTAAAAGTTAGCATTGTCTTACCAGTAATTTAATAGTCGACTATTTATTCTTAAACCAACTTTGGAAGTGTAAAGACTGAATGTTCAGCTGAAACAGCTGTTTCTCTAATCCTAAGCCTTAAATTTCTGGAAAATAGTAATCAACTTTTATTAAAGTTCTCACCATCTACTAGACATGGTATGAATATATTTAAGTATATGCATTAGTTCACTCCATTCTCAAACTAATTCTAGCTCCTCTGTGGTTGTTGTTGTCTCCAATGAGTTGGCTCCAATTCATACAACGTCACAATTCTATGTAGAGATTGTTAGGGTTTAAAACAAAACCATCTTCAAGATCATTGGCAAGTTTGAGTCAGTTGTGTCAATTCATCTCATTGAGGGTTTCCTGGGTGTTTGTTCTTTTGTGGTTTTTTGGTTTCTTTTTTCCTAAGCCTATTTCAAGCACAGATGTAAAATAAGCATTGTTAATATTTTGATTCAAAGAGGACCTAAGAATCTTCTCTCAAATCACACTAGGTATATGAGAGCCCAGATTTGTATCTCACTTCCAGAGACTGGAATCTTAACCACAGTAGTCCATTTATATATAAACCAAATATGATGATGATGATGATTGATGATGCTAACATTATCATGGTTATTCTTTTGGATTTTGTCTATTGAGAACTTACCAAGTGAACTCTTTACTGGGCATTTTATGTCTTTATGTCTAATATTTACACAACCTCTCTCAATGTGTGGAAATATTTTCATTTTACAGATAAATAAATTGAGGCATGAAAAAGTTGCTTAACTAGCCAACAAGCACATATCTGATATTTGGACCAGATTTCTGTCTGACATTAGCAGACTTCATTTAATAGCAACATATATAGCTGTTGAAAATGAAAAAAAAAATAATTTAATGTATGATCACACTTCATGAAGATGAGAATTACAGAATTTAGAAACAAATACAAGATTTTGTTGAAAGTAGTATAATCTTAAATAATCTAACCAGACTTAACCTGTTAGAATTTGAGAGCTATTATTTTTTTAGAAATCTAATATTTCCAATAATAGAATCTTTTAAAAACCAAACCAAAAAAATTAACTCTGAAAATGAATTAACAAAAGGTACAGCACTTTCAAGAGAGCTATGATTAGAAAGGGTTATCTAGAAAAACAGGGAAGAAGAAGAAGTAGTGAAATAGTGATAGCGAAAGGTGGAGAGAATTTACTTGTGGGAACACAACACAGCCGAGAGAACAAAGTAGAGGGTTAGCCATTACAGATCTACTAGTGACTGTGGTGGTGACCCATCTGCTTCTCGGTGTGCAGGGAGAAAACTTATTTTAGTCACAAATATACAATGTTCATTTTCAATGTGAGTTTACTGCTTTCCTCTTCTATAAGAGCTGCCATCCGGTGAATTCCAACTCACAGGGACTTCACTGAGGCTAGAGGGGAACTAAGCTCCACTCTCTTTCCAATGGTTAATAAGTAATGAAGGAAGAAGTTGAAGTTGCTCTGAAGCAATTGGCAAAAAACTAAGGCCCCAGGAATTAATGGGAAACCAATTATCATATTTTGACAAACAGAAGCAGCCCTGGATGTAGTTACCAGGTTGTGTCAAGAACTCTAAAGGACAACTACTTGGCCAATTGACTGGAAGATAACCATATTTATTTCCACATCAAAAAAGGTGATTCCACAGTGTGTGGAAATTACGGAATAATATCACTAATATCAAATGCAAGCAAAACCCTGAAGATTATCCAAAAATGACTGGAACCGTACATCAACAGAGAACTATCTGAAGTGTAACCTGGGTTTAAAAGAGGCCATGCTACTAAGGACATCGTAGCCAATGTCAACTGGATCTTGGCTGAAAGCTGAGATTACCAGAGGAATGTCTATTTCTGTTTCATCGACTAAGCAAAGATAAGTTTGACTATGTTGATCACAAAGACAGAAGAGAAAGAAAAGACCAAAATGGATGTCAGAAGAAACTCTGAAGATTGCACTGGAGCGTAGAGAAGCCAAAGCACAAGGAAGAATTCAA